ACTTCTATGGTGCTGAAGATATGTGCATGTAATAGAATTGAATGAAGGTGGGTTCATTCATTTGACAGGGATCTTCCTGAACACTTGTTCTGTGGTAGATTCCTAACAGATAAAAAAAAATCTCAGTGCAGAATCTAGTAAATATGATTATGTAGTACTTATGTATACATAATCACATACAATTGTACATATACATTATGTATTTTAATATATAATCTAATTGTATATATATATATATATATATATATATATATATATATATAATTTAATGGAGGCTAAATTGTCCTTAGTGTCCCACCCAAAGAAATCTTAATAAATAGTAACATATAAATAATAACTTAATAAATAATAGAAGAAAGCTAAAGACAAATAGGTGTGAAATGGGTTTTATAAGGTAAATGAAGTTTGTTTTTTTCCCCCCTTGAATACCACTCATTCAGTGAGAATAAAATCTCATTTTAAAATCCAGTGTATAAGCTCATGGTAATTTCTGTGTTGACAGTCCTGTCATTAGCAATCAGAACAACAGTTCTCAACCTGTGGGGTGAGACCCCCTTAGGAGTCACATATCCAATATCCTGTATATTGGATATTTACATTACAATTCATACCAGTAGCAAAATTACAGTTATAAAGTAGCAATGAAGTAATTTTGTTATTGGGGGTCACCACAACATGAGGAACTGTGATAAAGTGTCACAGCATTAGGATGGTTAAGAACCATTGATTTAGAAATATGTAGGAGATATTCTACAAGGAAATAAACATGGAATAGTATTAAAAAAGTGTAGTGCGTGGAAACTCTGAAGGACAGAGATACCAAAGTTGTACTCAAAATCAGCATGTTGTAAATAGAAGCACAACTACAAAAAACAAGTGATCAATGTTTATGACTTTTTAGTAGTCTTGAGGACAAATCATCACATATTGCTAAAATAAATTACTGTTATTTTCAAGAATATTATTATATATAAATATTCTATGGAGGTGTCAAAGGCTGGTCACATTATCACTGAAGATGCTAAAATATCTTTCAGTTTCAAACCTCATTTCTGTACAGTCAGCTATTCTGGCATCAAACTTGGTTACCTAGGACTTTGGGAACTAGGTGGCTCATGGTATGACTGTGTCTGTAATGGGACAGCATCTTCAGACCAGATGGGACACTGGTATTGGTGAAATAATTTTGGCCACTCCACGTAGTTAAAAGGATATTTATTTAATGGCATAACTCACAAATTAACTGATAGGTAGGTCGCAGGGTCTGGGAAAGGTGTATCGCAGTCCAGCGGTGTTCTCTGGAGCTCTGCTCAGTCTACCTCCAACGTTCAGTGTCCCAGCACAGAGAGAGCGCACAGAGAGAGGGCACAGAGAGAGCACTGGCCCATCCAGCTCTTCTTTCTCCAGGCGCCTCCCCTTGCCCCACCTCTTAGTTGTGACAGTTGCCAGAGTCTCAATGGGGGTTGGAACTTCCAGATCCAAGCTGGAATGGCTACTCACCACACACTGGGTTGGTACTTTAGAAACTGTTATTTCACTTTTTTTTTTTTTTTTTTTTTTTTTTTTTTTTTTTACTGGAAGGTACTGGACCTTTGGTCTCTGTTACAGAGTTAGGATCTAAGATTGTTGAGAGAATGATCCATCAGAAAAATCCAGGGTCTCTGAGGTTTTGTTGTATCTAATCCATCTCCCACTTATAGTGAGCTGAGAAGATGAATTATACACTTTACAAGCTTGTTGGCATAAGATTTAGGAGCTGTCAGTGTACATACAGCTGTTCAATAGTAATTTAGAGTTATTCCATAAATATTGGATATTTTACCACAACAGTTATTTCTCCTTTCAAGATAGTAATTTTTCATCTGAAATTTCTGCAGTATATTTTACATTGGGAAATATCTCTATAATCATTTTCCATTAAATGTGTTTAATGTGGCATTGCAATGTGGTCCTAACTTTAGTCATATATCTTATTGTTCATCCTTCTTATAGCATTTGTGATGAAGGCAATTGTTTTTCTTCTGAGGATACAATTTATTCTTATTAAGTCAATGAAAAATAAATATTATAGCTAAAGTTCAAGAGACAGAGAGCTACAGCCAGTCTTTCTCAGTGGCTCATTTACTGACTTCCAGTCCCCAGAAACCTATCAATCATCACTGAAGGTGGTGACAAGGCATTTAATACGACATAAGCCTTGCTAAAGTCTTAATAAAAATTATATTGATGTGAGCTCTACTTTACAGCAATGATTTTTGAATTTGATAACCCCTGATTTCTAGTTATTAATAGTCATGAAAATAATTTATTTGGCCATGTGACCTCTAGTTGATACCAATATCATTCTAAATCATGTTAAGGAAATGTATATCAAGCAGCTCAATGAAGCATCATATTGTAACACTGACCCAAAGTATATTAATCTTATTAGAAAGTCCTTAGTACGTATTCTCTTTTAACTAGTTGTCTTAATGTAGGATATACATAATATCATCCACTTATTTATTCAGAGAGTTTGACATTTTTTTCAACAGTTCATGGAATGATATGTCCCCATTTTAATGGCCTTCTTGAAAAAATGCACCATTATTAAACCACAACTCTCACAAATCCTTTATTATATTTATCTGAAGTTGTATTATCTGATACCATATTCAGTGATAAATTTGTATTTTAGACTTCAATTTTATATTGCATAGTTAACTTATAAATTGCTATTTTTAATTGAAACATTTTGTGAATAATTAATGTACTTTCTCCAAATTACATAGTTGATAGTTTATCATGAAAGCAATGCTAACCTGTGATTTTCCTTTATAAAAGTTTTCTTTTTGATCCAAATTTAATTTTAAGTGATTTATTGTTTTGAGATTTCTGTGTTGTTTCAGTTTTAATCAACCACTTTTGATAAATTTACAAATTATTGCATGCAATAAGTATATTTCAACAAACAAATCATTAAAGAAGACTAGATTTTTGTCTCATTCAGCATTAAGAGAATATTTGTGGGCCTGGGGAGATGACCAGTTGGAGAATGCTTACTATGCAAATATGAGGAACTGAAATTGGATCCCCTGCACTAACATTAAAAGCATGGCATGGTGGACCACATCTACAACCTTAGGGCTAGTGGCAGGGAAATACGGTAGTATTCTTGGGACTCACTGGCCAGATACCCTAGCCAATCATTGAGTTCTATGAGAGACCCTCTCTCAAAATAAGATGGAAGTGATTGAAAAGAACCCTTGATGGCAATTTCTGGCCTCAGTACCCATGGACAGTCACACACACACACACACACACACACACACACACACACACACACACACACGCTAAAAAAAAAATAATGAACTTTCAAAGAGAATTTTGAAAACCAAGGCTAATGTATTTACTATTTGGTCTATGGTGGGGTCATTATTATTTTTCAGTGATTGAAAGTGTGTAAATAACTAGTCAATTAATAAAGCTCAATGGAATCTCTAGTTCCAGTTTCTATCCTTAGTTAGTTCATGAGAACCAAGCTATTCATTACAGGAAATTTATTTTTGCTATAACACAGTCTGAAAAAGGAAAAAAAAAGCAAAATAAAGTAACAGCAACAAAGAAGCATGCAGAAAGTCATAAAAAACAGATCATGTTTTTCAAAACCAAGTGAAAATAGAGGATCCACCTGAGATTAACGACAGAGATGGACATTCTCAGGCCTGATTGCCTAACTGTGTTGTTAGCTGAGCATCTCATGGAGACACATCACAGTTTTTCACATATACTTATCAATTCTGGGTCATTTCACCACTATGTCTTTATTTTTTAAGTCTTGAAGGAACCTAAATTTAATATGTTTATGGAAAGCCTAGGATCTGGTACATAATTTTGTAAATGGTGTGTTGCTAAACTATTAACACTAAAGTTAGGGAGTAGGTCAAAGCTGCCTGTGGGTAGACCATAAACTACAGAGATGAGGGAGACAATTCAGGGCAAACTGAAGAGGGGATAGGAAAACAAAAGCACTGGCTGATGTAAGTGAAAAGAAGCCAAAGAGGAAACAGCATGGTACCATGAGCTTTCCACCTGCACGTTCCTGCTGTGCACTGGGAGGTAAGGAAAAAGAAAGAAGGCTAAAGGAGTAATTAAAAGGGAAGTCATATCTGCAAAGATGAAAATATCGAGGAAGAAGTCAGCTGAGTGGGGGAAATATGCGGGCAGGTACAACTTGACAACTTGAGTAGGACTTTGAACAGTTTTAGATAGGAGTTCTGCGATTTGAAGGAAAATCCAGGCTGACTGTGATAAGTTTGTTGAGGGGAAAAATCTCAAACTTTCAATTTCTGCAATTGCTTGTTTTATATTTTACACTCAAAAGACCCGAAGCTGTTGTGAAACAAAACTATTACAAAGATTACTTACTTAAAATGCCAATTTTGAAGCATTTTTCTTTTGTGCTTCTAGGTCTAAAGTACAGATCAGGGGATGGCGTCTCTGTGAATGAGAGTGTTTCCATATCGCACAGATCCAGGCATTTGAGAAAGTGTTCTTGGTAGACAGGTTTGCTTTGTGATGAGTACGGATTTGACAACTGTGTGTTAAACAAATAGCCATGGGTATAGTCAGAGATGAAGTTATCAATTTGAGAGGTAACCGAGCAGAAATACCTAATTATGTATCCAAATATTCCCACCACATGGAGATGATATGATACTCTTGGTAATAAGTCATTTAATTCAATGTTTGGTGGTGTGTGTGTATTTTGACTAGTCAACCATTTCTTCTCATGAAAGCAAAACAATAAGTTCAAGGACATTCTAAATAGAGCATTAAGCAATGTCAAGTATTTTAATGAGCACGCGGGCCTCTGCGTGTCAGGAGATGATGGCAGAGCAATGAGTTGCTACATTACAAGTAACATCTACAGTGACACAAAGGAAGGGTATGCGCATGACTTGTCACCTGCTCTTGCTAGAGTATAAAAACCTCTTCTGCCCGGGATAATGCTCATACTCAAGATCCATCCTTGAACAACAAACCAAAACTACAACTCTTGACACCATGAGCTACTACGGCAGTTACTATGGAGGCCTGGGCTATGGCTACCGAGGTTTTGGGAACCTAGGTTATGGCTATGGCTGTGGATGTGGCTTCGGAGGCTATGGATATGGCTCTGGTTATGGAGGCTATGGTTATGGCTTCCGCCGCCCACTTTACTATGGAGGATTTGGATTCTCCCGCTTCTACTGAAATGCTTTCCCGAGGAACCAAAATTTCAAATATAAGAACATTACGCCAACCTCATTTAAGGACTAAATTAAGCAAATACATTGTGAACCAAATCAAGAGGAAAATAATTGAAGATCTAAGACTTTAAGAATGCACACCATCTTATAATTTTACATATTATGCTCCGTTATTTCTCCCCTGTCATTTCTTAAATGTATACATATTTTGATCCTTTGTAATAAATTATCCTAACTTATAATTGTGTATGAGACTCTTATATTAATGCATTTTGTTACATACTTGTAATATACTTGACAAACTCCGTTTAGTGTTCACACTAACATCAGCTTACATAGGAAAGAATTATAAAATATGAAATGAGAGGCTGAGCAGATGTCTCAGTAATTGAGGTGGGTGAAAGAATCCATTACACAACTATTGAGACTTCAGTTTAAATTACTAGGACCTACATAAAAGCCAGGAGCAGGGCCACATACCTATCGTCACAGTGATGGGGTTGGTCTGAAGAGAGGCTCTGGAGCCGTGGTTCTCATCCTGTGGGTCCTGACTCCTTTGGAGGGTTGAATGACTCACAGGGGTCACCTAAGACCATCAGAAAACACAGATATTTACATCATGATTCATAACAGTAGTAAAATTACAGTTATGTGGCAATGAAAGTAATTTTATGGTTGGGGGTCACCTGAACACAAGGAACTATATTAAAGGAATGAAGCATCAGAAAGGTTGAGAACCACTGGTCTGGAGCTTGCTGGTCAACCCGCCTAGCCAAACCAAACCAAACCAAACCAAACCAAACCAAACCAAACCAAACCAAGCATAACAAGGAAATGTAAGCTTCTGGTTATGTGAGAAACCCCGTTCCAAGAGAATAAGGCAGAGAGTGATAAGATATGGTTCTTAAAGTCTTCTTCTGACCTCTGCATATGTGGAAATGAACAAATTCCCCAAATACAAACACAGGAAATGAGTCACATGATGAAGTACAAATATCATAGTAGCATTTTGTAGTTTTACTCAGCTGCCTGTGAATTAAATACTGCACTACAAACTATATACACTATACTCTATATATTGTGATAATTATAATTATAAACCTACTAGTAAACCATGGCACTGAATTCAAAGGAATGTTTTAAACAACATATTTGTATTACTTTTTGATAGATTCTTACAATGTATTTTGATCATACTCATTCCAACTAGTTGTACTAAATCCTCCCAAAACCATCGAACTCCATAATCCTCAATTAAAAAAAAATCCCAGAGATTAAAATTTGTGTTGTCTATCTACTTTGGGTATGGGGCCAATACAAAAAGATTGTCTTACCAAGAACCAAACCCTTAAAGAACAATAAATCCCTCTTTCTTAGAAACCATAATCTATCCATAGCTTCTCAGTTAGGCATGGGACTTATGATCTCCTTCCCTATTCATGGTCTCACACATCTTGGTGGAATGGTGACTAGCTTGATCTTGTGGATGCAACAACAGCTATTGGCAGCTCATGAATGAGAGGGTCTTGTCATGTCCAAAAACAAAGTTTCTCTCCAAATCTCTCTGAACTCTGGCACCTACAATCTTTCCAACCACTCTTTGCTTAGGTCCCTTGAAACTTGGAGTAAGGTTTGTAATAAGAATATCCTGTTTCTGGCTGAGCCACTCCACTGATGCTTATTCTGTACTTTGACTGGTTGATCACAATGCAGAAATTGACCATTGAATAAAGAAAATCCTCTGATGAGATAGGAGAGCTATAGTAATCTATTTATGGTAGAGAAACACAAATTTAAAGAGATGTTTGATGAGTCCATTTACCAGAAAGTAGTATTAGGTTCATCCCTGGGATCTATAAGCTTCCTAACCATGAGTTCTTAGTTCCAAATTTATAGTATTAAGTATCTGTTTCCTGGTGTGGAATGGGTTTTAATTCTATCATGAAGTGGTTGGTTACCTCTGCAACATTTGTGCCATTATTGTGCCCATGAACATAACTTGCCACACCAGCCATTATTATAGTTCACAGAATTCATAATTGGGTAAGAATATTAAAGATTCTTTCTCCATCCCATATTGGGTATGAATATTAAAGACATAGAACCATGCAGTAATGTGAGATCTAGCCAGAAGGAAGGAAACTTCACTGTCAGAACCAATTTTCTCTCTCCATGTTCTATAACCAATGTGTGTGGTATCTTCAGCAATTGGGTCTTGTGATCAAGGTATGATGGGCAATAGCAATGCCAGTAGCATGAGTATACACACAGACCAGACACACACACACACACACACACACACACACACACACACACACACACACATACACACACACACATACACTAACATGCACACATACATGTACACACACACACACACACACACACATGATTTTTGTAAGAGAATGAAAGAGATTTTAAAGTTGGGTGGTTAGGGGGAGAGGGTGTGGGAAAAGTTGGGGGAGGCATGTAAATATGATTAAAATATAGTGTACAAAATTTTCAAAGAATAAATAAAAACATTATTTAAAAAATCAACACATTAAAGTTCTATCTACTTTCATATACAGCTTCAGACACACAGGAGCAGTAAACACATTTTGTTTAGCTGAAGATATATCTTTTTTATTGTTTCAATGATAAAAATGTAATGTTAAAACAAAATAACTTTGAATATTTATTCAAAATAAACAATATTTGGCAAATCCATATCATGTTTTCTTCCTAATCTGAAAATGTGCAAATTGGTGGTATTCTTACAAATGATCAGCATCCAGAAATATTTAGCATACTATCATGGAAAACTAAAAGTTAGTGTCAGTGGTATCAACTAGTCCACATGGCTGCTATTGCTGGCCTGTAGCCTTATGAAATTTGGCCAAATTTCTTGTAATGAGGAACTTTAGTTACCCATCAACCAGCCAAAATGGGTATTTCTGGGATTTCTGTCACCTCCAGTTATGCATTTGCTGATGTAAATAGGGAATGAAATATAACCCTTTCCAAGAGAAAAATATATGCATTTTGTTACAAAAGTAAATTTAAATTTCTTTTATCTGATATTTAATAACAGTAAGATAGGAATATGAGTTATACCATGAAGTTGTTTGCTAAATATTTGTTTTGTACTGCTTTGGATAGGAAAGACTCTTCAAAGGGGCAAATACTTTGATGAAGATAAATCCAGATTAGAACCCCATTTCAGTGAGACCAACCACTCTGATCCTCTTGCTCATTAGTCTGATGATAGTGTAGTGCACTCTGGTGCAGTCAAATGAAGTATGAGATGTTTATGACTGTATGTTTCTCTATAGGATTTACTTGGAGCTAGCTGGCCACATTTATTTATTACAATATTCTATCATAAAATCATGGGCTTCTTTACAGGAGAAAGCTACCTATAATGAGTGACAACTCCAAAGTTTACTCTGAAAAATAAATTTGAAATAAAATGAAGTGTAATAAATAAATAAACATAAACAAATCAAAATAAAAATATATGTGAAAGACTTAGAATCATTTTCTGAACAACGCATTTCCAGTGAAGGAAGACCTCCCTATCCAAGGTCACTATGGAAAACTGCACTAGCGTGTTTGACAAAGTCAGAGTTTCACATGAAACCATGTGATTCCTAAGTGGTTAATGGCAATACAGTCTGAGGAAACATTTTACATATCTAAACAGAATCAATATCGTTATTGATAGACAGCATTTGCTGCTCCTAGGATAATTGCATTTTATCATATTTATTTCACCAATTGTCAGATTGCATTGATTTAAGATTGAATTAAGCTGTAGGACACATTTCTTCTTTGAGAAAAGATTTCACCTGCCTTAGACTTAAGGTATCATGGGATCATCAGCCCACAAAGGAGTAAAGATCTGGCAGGTTACATCATTAAAACTTTTTGACTGATTTGTGATTTAGATAGCTTCTAACTGACTTAATGAGAATGAAATACTTGAGAATCAAATAAATACCTGTATATTTTAATCTTAAAATGCATTATAAAATGAAACAAGTCTGGAAGACACTATACAAAAAAGTGAAAATAGCACATGAGATGCAAAAGTCTATAAATCCGGACAAAAGTAACTGAGTAAAATAAACATAATAATAATATATTGGATAGTATGATATTAAGCAATTACTTTAGGGGCCAGTGAGAACATTCAGTTGGTAAGGGTATCTATCACCAAGGTTGGCAGCCTGATTTTGATTCTTGGAAATCACACAGTGGAAAGAGTAAACTTATCCACAAGTTGTACTCTGACTTGACTCACTGGTCCTAGTATGTGAATTCTCTCTCTCTCTCTCTCTCTCTCTCTCTCTCTCTCTCTCTCTCTCTCTCTTTCTCTCTGCCTATGTCTCTCTCTCTGTCTGTCTCTTTCTCTGTCTCTCTCTCTCTTCTTCTCTTTATCTCCCCTCTCCTTTAAATGAATGGATAATTATACTTTTTTTAATTTAAAAGTTTTTTTTTTCATTTCATATACCAACCACAGTTACCCCTCCCTCTTCTCCTCCTGCTCACCATGAACCTTCCCTCCACCTTACCCCGAAGAATTAAAATTAGTATTAGGTTGTTGTTGCTAATGTTTTTAAAACTATTTATCTGTTCACAATTGACATACTCTAAATATTTACAACACTTAGATCTCTTAAAAAAAACTCAGATGAATCAAATAAATAACTTACTAAAGTGTCAAAAAATGAATGAATAAATAGGTAAATAAATATAGTAGCAAAATTAAAAGAAACTTATTATATAGACATGATCTTAGAGTAACAATATCATGATGAGAAATAATTTCATCAGAAAAAAATCTTACAAGATCTCTCCATTAAAATAACTTCTATAAATCAACAAGGGATATTCCAAAGCCAGCTCAAAAGGAATAAAATATTTGATCATGGAATTCCAAAAATAGGATAGTCAAATGGTCATTTAGAAAATAAAATCATGTCTAATCAAGGTGTCCATGGGGTTCAATGTAAATCTTTGTCAGAGATACAGAGTGAGCACACGGTCCAACTTTGATGATTGTTGTCCAAGTTTCATTTCTGTTGATATGATCCAATATTCTGACAAAATCAACTTGGAGAAACAGTTTATTTTAGCTCACAGGTTTAGATTGCTCTCCATCACTGCAGGGAAGTCAAGGTAGGAACTTGAGACAGCTGGCCACATCCACAACCAGAAGGAGAGTATGAATACACATAGGCTTAATCCTCAGCTCACATCCTCTACTCTAACATAGTCCAGGATCCAACCAAAGGGACTTTTGGCACACATTACATTAAGCCGTGTCTTCCAACATCAATTGATATAATCAAGACATCCACAAAAAGAAGCTTTCAGTACCAACCTGACATGTACAATGGAAAAGTTAGAGAACAGGAAAGCCAGATATAGAACCAAATGAAGCCATGGATTCAGTCATCACAAATACCTTGAAAGGAACTATAATGACCTTCCTGAAAGACATGTTCACTGGTGCAAATATTGACATTTTAAATGAGTAATCAATCACCTTTTGATTAGATATAAGGCACACTCCATGAGATGGAACCAATATCTAATATTGTTAATGAAGCCAAGAATCTGAGACTAGATAGGCATGGGTCCAGGAGAAAAAAAGCATAGCTATTATTTTTTCTAAATTAATATTATAATAAAATGACTCCTTATGGCATACTGCTGTACCCATTTTCAGTGCATCACTCAACACTCAGTAAAGAATATTCTCCTTACAGTAAATGATAATTAATGGATAGTCACACAACTGGAAAGTGTGTAGAGAATTAAGACCTTAGAATGCTCTTCCCTGAATGAGATGTTTTTATCAAGCCCGTCCCCTGAAGGCTTATTGATCTATGCTGACTAGGGGGCAGAAAGACTGTCAGAGGCAGAAGTGTTGGGTGATTTTAAGAAAACGGTTTTATAGACATACTAGGATAGATGCACATATGAACTCACAGAGACTGGGACAGCATGCCTAAGACCTGTACAAGCTCAACTCAGACAAATCCAAGCATGGTGGTGAGAAAGTTGACATGATGCCCAACCTCTAGTCAATAAACTATTCACAAATTATTGCTGCTGGGAGAGGGAAATAAGTTTTCTTTAATGGAATAACACTGGAAATACCAACCATATTTCAAGGTAGTCCCCATGCTAATGAATATTTGACTATCATAAACCAGATGCCATGGTTTTAAATGGATTTTTATTTTTCTTTTAAGAGAGAGAAAGAACATGAAGTTGCATAGAAAGGGAGAAGAGTAAGGTGTAGGAAGATTTGGGGGACTGGAAAGACTATGATAAAAATATACTGTATGAAATGCTCAAAGAATAAATCACACACACACACACACACATGAACAGAAGCCAACTTGGTATAAACATTTTCTCATTGAGACTTTCTTCTCAGGGGATTTTAGATTGTGTCAGATGGGCAAATAAATTTAATATTCCAATGAAAGTGTGATTTTTTTCTTTGTTCTCTGAAACTATTGACAACATCAAATGAAGCTGGAGGTAATTCCTAGAAAAATGACAGTCTCTTGGGAGTGTGATGTTCACCATAAAGAATAGTGACAATATTTGAAGATTTGAAGATTAGACTAAGCTGGTTGTTGTTAGTATAGACACATTGAGTTATTTTCCCAAGGATCAATATGGCATTAATTCAATCTCAGCACTATGACATGTGAAATTCTCTAAATCACATTTTCTTGTTTATATACTTAGATGGGAAAATTAAATTAATATTATATAGAAGAGAGATTAATAATTATAATTATGAAATCTTTATTAAATTTCATATGAGGCCTGTCTGTCTTAAAAAATTACTGTAATCATCCTTATCTTGATGATGTCAGATGGTACTGTGCCTGCCCATGCAATAAAACCATAAATATAATGTTGGCATTATGACATGACATTAGCCACACAAAGATTAAGCAAATACACACTGTGAGATTTCATAGTAATTGTTCTGATGACTGCGATAGGTAAGCACCTAATTGGTGTGTGGCTTATACAGCTCGACAAGGAGATATGCCAGATATGAAGACAATGAATGGAATCATAGTTAATGTTATCCATAATGGTGAAAAATTTGAAGTTTATGACATTTTTGGATTTTTTTAATTGCTACTTTTGGATCACAGTTGAGTGCAATTCATGGATAGTTGGAAGTCATGAGAAAGACAAGTATAAACAATTCATCAAATGTCATACTTAAATGCAATTCATCACCTCATACATTATACTTCAGAGCAAATGGAGATGAAATACATTGACAGTTTTATGCTCTTTTGAAGACAGAAACCATTGGAACTTTTTAAAAAGTTCCTGAATATTTGTATGCATTCAGCAAATTGTACAAGCCAGAAAGAGGCACAAAGCCAACTTGTAAGGACTAGAATCTGGAATATATTCAATACTTATTTATAGTACTGCTCTAACATAGTAGACAAAGGCATAAAACAGGCAAGGGGAACATGGAAATGTTACAGTGGAAATGTATACACAAGAAGTAAGAGAAAAGAATTAATTGCATTGAATAAAGGCAGATGGTTTCCAAAATTTCATTTCATTTATTTTACCATAGCATGCTGACATGTGAAAGGATACAGAGCAGGTGATAGTCTGAAAATGATATTCACATACATACCAGAATGGATTAAGTTCCAACCACTGACAGCAACGAATGCTGACCTGGGTATGGAGCAAGGGGGACGTCTTTTGCTGCTGGGACTGCATGCAGATAAGGACAGCATGGTAGGAAAACTATTTGGCAATTTCCTGCAAAGCTAAACATTTTTTTCCCAGACAGTTCAGCAGTTTTCCCCCTTGATGTTTACCCAGATGAGCTCAAACTTTATGTGCACATGAAAATATGAACAAAGGATTTATTGAAGTTGTTTTCACAGCTAACAAAATTGTATAAGAAGAAACATTTCTTTTAAAGAGTAAGTAGATAGACAAAGTGTTATATTCATGAGAGGGGATCATATCCAGAGATAAAATAGAAATGAGTTATCAAGGAGGGAAAGGAAGACTCTAAAAAGTATTTAGTTAAATGAAGAGGTCATGGTGAAAAGGTATGATACTATATGATTCTGACTACATGATATTCTGGCAAAATAAAGAACCATAAATAGAGCAATAAAAACTCAGTATTTTCCAAGAGATTGGGAGGTGTACTGAGAGAAGACTGTATGAAAAAATAGATTCCATTTAGCTCAATGAAACTATTTTACATGATATTTGCATTCATGTTTGCATGACTACATAAAGTTGTCAAAGCCATAGAAATGCAAAACATGAATACAAACTCTTATTGAATTGTGCATCTATCACAATTGCTCCACCCTTTGTGATAAATGTGTAATATTACTGAATCTGTTTATAGAGGGACACTATTTTGTGTGTATGCTTGGGGGAATAATGAAGATATCATGTTTATGCTCATTTTTTTCTGAAAATTAAAACTGTCCCAAATATAAACTCAATTAAGTAGCAAGAGTCACATGGTATAATCAGATACATAGCTTAAGAGCTGTTAGCTGAAGTATGGTCAAAAGTAGACGACAGGATGCTGGATCCTTTTGGTGACACATTACATAGATGTACAGAGAAAAGTGTCATAATTGGAGATAATGTTCCATGAGTTTTAGATCAACTTTTGAAACAAATTTTTTATTACTGTCATTTGACTTCTGTTTTGGATTTTTTTCACACCGCTGTCAATGCTCATAGAACAATACCATAATAAGAGTGAACCCTAATAGACCAAGTGTAGACTTTCAATATAATATCAACATTGGTTCACCAACTGTAAAAGCCAAGTGGAAGAGTGTGTAAAACAAATATTAATTATGGCGATCAATATGCTAACAATGGAAAAAGCAAAGCAGACCTTCTTTTAGTATGTAGAGTTCATTACTCTTACAACACAGCAGAAATGATTCCCTTTGACTTTCACATGCATTCTTCCTGATTCCCCAAAACAGATAGTTAATTTACTTTAGAGTTTGAGGAATAAAATAATTTTATAGGGTAAGACAGAATGCAGAGCCTCAAATTGCACACAGTCCTTTGATTTACTTTGGAAGTTAAACATCTAAGAAAAACTGGATATGAACAGACTTAATTGAGAACAAGACATTGTTAGATGTGATCACTCAAACACGCCAGCTATGAGGAGTTCTATTAGTGGTTTGGTAGATCCAGACTTTGAAGATGCAGCAACTCCATCTCATTACGTGATGAGAGGAATTTTAAGGGCCACAATAATTTGGCAGCTAAGCGCATTCAACAGTTTAATGAACTAAAAGAGACTCCCCTTGCCAGTGGAAGTGTAATAATGAGTAGTTTTTGAGTAGCTGTAATTGAAGAAAAATGATGCAAAATGACGGAATGCATATTACATATCACATGTTCTTCTTAGAGTACACAAGCTTGGCCCACACATAAGGACATTTGTCCTCAAGATCTTATCTTGAACAGCATACCAAACTTTCTATCTCTGACACCATGGGTCACTACAACAACTATTATGGAGGCCTAGGCAATGGCTATGGAGGCTTTGGGGGCCTGAGCTATGGCTATGGCTGTGGGTATGGCAGTTTCTGTAGACTGGGCTATGGCTGTGGCTTTCATGGCTATGGATATGGCTCTGGCTATGGAGGCTACGGGTATGGCTACAGCAGCCCACTTACCTATGGAGGATATGGGTTCTTCACCTTCTACTGAAAGGCTTGCTTGGGCAATAAACACTTGAGACCATGAGAAGATTAACCCAATCAATTAAATATTGAATGAATATCACTGTGGACTAAGCCAAGAGAAACTGAATAGTTCAAGGTTTTAAGAGGACTAATCATCTGAACATGTTTATAGACACTCCCTATTTAAATGTGTATAGAATAATCTGGTTTAGTTCGCAACAAATTATTCTACTAGAAATCAGCACACACATGTAGTATTTAATCATTTGTTCATGGAAATACTATCTCTGGTTTTTGTTTTATGTTTTTGTTTACTGAATGTTTTCAAATAAATTATTTCATTTCAAAATAGATCCATTCACCAATATAGCCTATCAAGACATTTGAATTCACAAGGGTCAGCTGACTTTTCATATTCATAATTCTATCCTCTTTCTAATATATATATATATTCTAGTCTCTTTCATTATATATATATATATATATATATATATATATATATATAATGAATTTAAATGAGTAGTAAGTAATGTTGTCTGACTTTCTTATTCATCGTGGGAATAGAATCCTTAGTCCAAGAGCTCTTCAACCAGCTATGGTGAATGAACTTCTTTGAGTCCACGTTTTCAGAGTGTATTGTTTTACTGGACTTCATCAGAGTAATGGCATCCCAGTGACTCTATTGGAGGATTACACTTTTTGACAGGTAATAACAACAGATATTATTTTTCTAGTTATTAATAGTATTTGTCCATAATATTGATAGGGACTAACTATAATAATAAAAAAGAGTAGTTGGTATAAAATCCTGGTGAATGTAGTAGATGCTCAGTATAATGCAGAATTATTATACTATTAGATATTGATTTATGACTTCTGTGGATCTATGCAGGAATAAATGGAAGGATTCAGAATATCTTATTTTCGGCGGAACAGATAAGCTTATGGATAACATATCATAACAGGTTCAGCCTCCAAACAAGTAAATAATTGGCAAACCTAAGTAAGTAAAATGTGACACCCTAAAACCTACTTGATTTATTTGTAAGTTTGTGGCTTCAGCTTGAATTAATGAGGAGAAAGTATTCAAATTATCATGTTGTTTATCATTTAGAACAAAAATAAAAATGAAGAACATAGAAAAATACTAATGTGTCATATTAAAAATTCCTATATGTTGGATGCATGCAAGTGTATGCCTGAGCATACACGCATGCACACACACACACACACACACACACACACACACACACACACACACACACACACACGGGCACGAATTTATAGGTGAGAGGCAGTATGGAAGCCAGATATGACAAATATGTAGCCGACAGTGACAGATGACAATGATCAAAACCATCATGTATCCTCTAACTCAAATGTAAAAAATAGTCTGGTATTTCACAGATAACAGATATCTTCACAGATAGCAGTGGTAAAATTATGAAAATTATCTTTATGGGTAAATACATAGAACAGAGGTCATTTATGTTTATATTCAACCTTGAGTCCATCTGTGAGTCAAGATTAGGCAAACTTTACAACAATCTTGAGTATTTATACAGATGAGTGGTATCTTAGGAATGGCTGAAAATCATTTTCATCTCAATTATCTTTTCTATTCTACCTTTTTACACCTTGCTTATTTTTTGGAGATTTTCAAGACATCTTCAGTGTAAATGGTTGCTGACTTTTACAGTCATTTATAACAGAATATTCTCAACATCTGAGATCCCAATAAATATTTATTATTTCATGAGGCCCCAGTTAGCTATTATCTTGTAAATAAGCATATAATAAGCAAATGGAAGGAAAATAAAAGTGATTATGGTGAAAGCAGCTATGTATTACTGTATGATATCATGAATTTTACATGGAAATAAAAAGTCTTGAATGAAAATTGATGGACCCAGAGAGAAATCTGTAGTACTGAGCACTCAGAGAAACTGATAAGGGCAAGAATGGATCAGAGGATGTGAGGTAGTAGTGGCCACAGTGTAGGTGAGGGGACTGTAATCTGTATGTCATGATAATACTTTGGATATCTAATAGACAGGAAAAGAAGTCTTTATAAAAATGGTAAATATTAATGGCTTGTAATACTGCTTAAAAACAGATCTCTAATTATTATGAACTGTTTTTATGTTTAAAAAATTATGCCATGTTTATAGAAAAAAGTTTTATTTTTCAACAATTATTAAAATAGAGGTTACTAGTTATGAGGAACAATGCTCTAAAATAATAATAAAAGAAGATGAAAACCTGATGAATACATTTCAGCTCTTTCCCTTGAAGTTAACTACTGCTGCACACAGCAGGTCGGCTGATGGCTTCCGAGCTTTTAAATGTTTCCTACCATTTGACAAGAAACCCAATGTGAGGTATAAGATGGTTTTAAAGTGGTATGATGAATTGAATTTAATCATATTATTTCATTTAATAATAAGCAGAGCAGAGTAATTCCACGAAACCTGGGTATCAAGGGATATGTACTTTCAGCATAGTAGTACAACTCTGTTATTTGGTTTGTCTATAAACAGCTCTGTTTAGATTTTGAAATAAGATATTTCTTTCCATGAAAGTGGGTTCCAGAAGCACCACGAACAGAAAGCAGTGCAAACTCACGCAATGTGGTGAGTTGGATGGCTCCTACATGTGTTAGGACTCTGCCAAGCATGATACATAGAATTACATGAAAATTTGACAGCAAATGAGAAATATTTGATCTCATTGCTTGGTAGGGTATAAAAACATATGTGACCATATTTCAGTTGTCACACTAAATATTTTGCCTTGAACAGGCCATCTTGCCTCTCTGGACACCATGAACAAGTATGGTAACTACAATTCAGCCTAGATTGCATCTAGGGAGGCCTCAGAGTCTAGAGCTGTGGCTGTGGTTATGGAAACAGAGAACTTGCAGTCTAGGGAGGGGCTGTCATCATAAAAACTATGGTTCTGAGTCTGGCTATGGAGGCTGCAGATATATGTTGCCACCCTTCATGCCTAGGATATGAAATCTCCAGACTCTTTTAAATTATTTTTATATTCAACATTTAAACAATAAGAGAACTCTCCAAAGATGGAGTCTCTCAGTTTTACAATTGAGTTCAAGATGGTGTGACTTGTGTACAAAAATCGAGTATGTCACATAATTTTCAGTTTAAAACACCAATGACATCATAATGCTAGAATTATTTAATTTTGTTTGTAACTGATTTGATTCTTTCTTCATCTTCTAATAAATCATTCTAATTTGGAAACAAAATATGATTTCTGTTCATAAATTTAATTATGTATGCATGCTGATGAATCTTGACAATTTCATTATGAAGGAGAGAGCCATAGACATACAAATAATAGATAGTTTGGAAGTGAACTAACAGACAGCTTCAGTAAGATCAATAAGCGATACTTTCCTGTTTCTTTCACTAGGTAATGCTCATATTCTAGTCAACAAAAAGCATCTGTCAACATAACTATATATTCATATGTTACACATGTTTTATTACATTGAGAAGTGTTTCTCAACTCATACATTCAGTAATGTTGTCCCTTTAAATATAAATCAGTAAAGTATTTTAGATTAAGCCATATCATTAAGCATACTGGGAAAATAAACTACCCATGCAAGAAAAATTTTGAATTCTGTGGTCTCACCCCACTCTTTTGTACATTCTTATTTGATAATTAAATGTGCCATTGATCTATGTTATTAATTAAACAGGGTAGTATTTCATATGAGGCTAGTTCAAATTTAATTTGCAATTTTTTTTAGCTACACTTGTTCAGTCGACTGCTTATCTTATTTCACTTCAGCTCCATTACAGGACACTCTTCTTTTTAATCCACATCATAGTGAAGCAATTGCAATCCAAACACCTGTCTTTTGAGTTCATCACAGAACTACATTAGGAGCTATCTATTATTTTTTGTATGTTTATGAGTTATATGAGAATAAAATTGATCTCTACAATTTTATTATGGATAGCACATTGACTTTTCTCCCATCACATCACTAGAATGATCTATCCTGCTTGTTTGTTTACCATTGTGCGCAACTCAACCAAAATTCACCATTCTGTGAAATCTTCCTAGATTAAACTAAATACATACATTAGTAAACAATGAAGTCCTCACTTTCCAAGGCACTGTCTCTGTCTCCTGAGTGCAGGTGAATGTTTATACATCACTATATCCAGCTTTGGTATTTTGATGTATATATTTAATGACTTTCTTTTACTCTTTATCCATAAGCATGTAGGTTTGTACTTACATGGGTATGTATACAAAGGGGCAGGACACATTTATATATTACTTGCTGCTTCTTTGAAATTGTAAAAATAAATCCAGAGCTGTACCACAGTTGAGCTTGCTTTCATTTGTAATATCTCTTTTAATATGTGCACAGCATTATGCACATAATAACAATAACATGAATGGATGAGCCTTTAGTCATATGCACACACCTGTCATATTTGCCTCAGCATTCATAAGATTCTTTAAACTTTTCAATGTACTTATTGCTGCTGGAGTTAAAAATAACTCATTGAAAGAACCTGAGAGATGGCTCAGCAGTTATGAGCACTGACTACTCTTCCAGAAGATCCTGGGTTCAATTCCCAGCACCTACATTACAGCTCACAACTTTCTGTAACTTCAAGAAGTGACACTCTCATATATGTGCAGACTACACACCCGCACACATAAAATAAAAATAAATTAAAAAATGACTCATTGAAAAAGGGATTTTTCCTGCACATGTCCCCCCAACAAACAGTACAATAAACTTGAATAAAGCAGCAAAAGAATTTCCCTGGAGGGAAAACATTAGTTTAAATATTCATTTGAAACTTGAAGGCCATTATGAATCCCACTTTACTTGGGAGAAAGCTTACTTACAGCTTACTCATTACAAGCTGTATAGAATTACAAGAGGCAGAATTCATTGTTTTTTGCTTTCTTTGCCCAACAGGATGACTGTTTTCTTTGGAAGAAGATTTGATTAATCCAGTTGAGAAAAGATATTATCAAGAATCCTATTTCCAAATTAAAACAAACAAATGTACTCTCTGGTATATATTTAATGTCACATAAAGTGAAATACTAATTAAAGCCCAAACCCTAGGATATGGTTGTATTCCAATGATAACTAAGTTTGGATTGATTTCCTGTTTTTAAGGTTAAGATTGGGAAATATGAGAAACGTGACAGTCTCTGCTCACATTCTTCTTTGCAACACAGTAGGTTAAACATTGTCACTCATATTTGGAGAGTTATGAGTCCTGAGAAATTTAAAGCATCCTGTTAAAATAGTGTATGACCCCAAAAGTATTCAAACATTTACAAGTAAGTAATGTCGCGAACTCTTGTGAGCGCATTTTCATAGACAAAATAATGCAAACAATGCATATACTGTAGAAAATACAATGTAAGGGAAAAGGTATTATAATTTTAGGTATGTGGATAAAAAGATGAAAGCCTATTTAAAAAGTAAATGGCCATTAACTAAATACGCAGCTGGTACTATAATAAATAGAAAATAAAGACAAATTATGAAGTAAAGAGTGGTTTGGTACAGAGGATGGCTACATGGAATATGGGGAAGAGGAGGGGAAGTCAAAACAAGGATCTTGAGGAGCTCAGATAACACTGTAGGTAGAATCCAGTCTCTAGAAATGATAAAATGGATAATGGTGTAAGGGAAACATATTTGAAAAATCAGGTTATAGAATGAATTTAATGTCTTGATAATCCGTTGGTTCGGGAGTTAAATTTTTAGTATTCTGATAAGCCAAGAATTTTTTTATGATAATAGATAAAGAAAAATAGTTTTTAATTCTGCCTTCAATTTTCTGGTTTTTTTTTTATGTATCTATCATGATTAGGCTCATTCATCTGAAACATATCCTCTTCTTTTGAAAGAGTTCAGATGCTTCATTTGTCAATCTGAAAAACACATTGGAAGATTATGGAACATTTAAATGTTTTAAACAAGATCACTTATCACAACTAGGTAGATATTAGATATTGCAATCTAAATGAATGAAACAAAATTAGGAATGAGAAAATATTTAGAAAAAACACTGCCAATATGAATGATATAACAAGCATAATAATGAATTCTATTACAGGAATTTAAAGTCTCTAACTTTGAAGGCATTGACATTTTCTCATAAAAACAGGACACAGTGAGTTCAAGGGCATTCTAACTAGGCAGAGAAGCAAGCTAAAACATTTTAATGAGTTGTATTCCTCCCTTTGTGTTAGCAAACAGATTAATGAGGTGTCTCTAGTACATTAATAACTTGGAATGAAAGAAAACAGTGCCCACAGGTTTTGTCACATGTTCAGCAGAGTATATAAGCTTCCCCTAACACTCATTGACATTCACACTCAGGATTTTACCTTGAACAACAGATCAAACCTACCTCTCCCTACACCATGAGCTACTACAGTGGATATTATGGAGGCCTGGGCTACGGCTATGGTGGCTTTGGAGGCCTGGGCTATGGCTATGGAGGCTATGGCTGTGGATGTAACAGCATCCGGAGACTGGGCTGTGGCTGTGGTTATGGAGGCTATGGATATGGCTCTGGCTATGGAGGCTATGGATATGGCTCTGGCTATGGAGGCTATGGATATGGCTCTGGCTATGGAGGCTATGGATATGGATGCTGCCGCCCTTCATGCTGTGGAAGATATGGTTTCTCCAGCTTCTACTGAAATCCTGCTCTAGTAATTCAGCATTTGAAACCTTGACTAGGTGTTCTGAGAAATCCTAGTCAAGTGGCTGTGATGGTCCTAAGTCAACTGGGCAAGTGAAATCATAGAATGGTAAAGACTCCATTTATAAAATGTGTCTACATTTTAAGTTTGGAGACTAAGAGTGAGTTTATGTTCAGTTGCCAATAAATGATTCAATAAGAAATTGAAATATGATTTTGTTTGGTTCATTTCATTTGTATGAAAAAATTGTTGATATCTGTTAAGTACAACAAAATACATACAAGAATATATATGTAAATAAATACACCAATACACACAAATACGCATATATATGAAGCTAGCTAGCTAGCTAGCTAGCTAGATAGATAGATAGATAGATAGATAGATAGATAGATAGATAGATAGATATAAACAGAGAAAGAGAGAGACATAGAGGGGGGATACTTTAATAGCAATGAAACGGTATTTCATTGAGACAGAAATATGATCAACCTGACTTGACCAACACATGCTGAATACAAGTACTGAAGTATTATACCTTACCTCTTAAGTTTGGAAGTTTTGTCAGACCATGACCTGTGTTAACATTTGCCTCTTTAAAAAGCTTATTTTGTTGAAATGGAGAATTGAATCAACAATCGACAGGTTATCTACTTCAGAACATAACTAACCAATCAGCAGTGTTAAAACCCAACTCTAGGTGAACATTTCCTATGACCTGCACTTTCATTATATGCTGCTATAAGTTGGGATGGACCACCACTATGGGCTAAGCCAGTGAAATGGAACTCAGCAATGCTGTTGAAGGCTTAGTTGTGTAGCCTGACCAAGTGTCATAGGATTTCCCAAGAGGCATTTTCTTTCTAAATAGGATAATACCTTCTATGAATAGTTAGCACAAGGCTGTAAAGGAGAAAAATAAATTATCACTAATATTCACATTCTTAGTTTAGTCAATACTACAACAATTTTATTTTCTTTAAGATTTATTGATCAATCTCTATGTTGAGAGGAAATGTTTTGCATTTGTAAAAGTTTAACACTTCCATACACAGTGAGAATATTTTTTATACTTCTATCCATAAAAATGAGTAAAAACTTATGTAAGTCATGAGTTGACATATCTAAACAAGTAATAACAGCATAATTTTTCTTTTGATTCAATGAATGGATAGAAAAATATAGGATTCTTCACAAATATTGCAATGAATATATTTTTTGTCTTGTGCTCATAGAAAATAGTGTTTTGCTATATTTTCTTCAAAATACTTTTTCTTGTTTTAATGGAGAAGTAAACTTTGTCCAGCACAGTTTTACATCTTCTTTCATGAAGATACATTTAGCATTAATTAAATTACTGAAGGCTTGTCATTTGCATCTCATACTATTTCTACATATGAGATAATCTCAAGTTTCAAAATATTGGGGAAAATGCAGTGTGAAATTCTTAGCTGTGATTTAGAGTTCTAAATCATCCTTCCAGATGGCCTGGCACAAAATCATAGACTTGCTTAGAACTTTATGAAAGTTAGGGGTGGGGTTTATAACTCCACTATGTAGTTCATGAGCGTGAGGGTGAGAGATGTCAGTATCTTGCTGCAGTTTCAAAAGGCTGTGCCTGCCTTTTATTGAAGTTTGGCTAGAGTAGCACACACCCTCAGGAGAAAGGCTAGTGTAGGTTTATTGCTATCTCCAACAGAAACATGGCTGGAGTTCATGTCAGATTGAAAATATTTCTTAGAGTGTCTGATAAGCTGCTTAAGTTATTCTCTGACTAGTCTGTGCTTTCATATCATGGGTAGTCATATATGCCATTCCTATAATTTTTCGAGTGCCAACTGACTGTTAAGCTTTAACACTAGGTAAGGTCAAATAAACAAACCTATTAGAACACAGGATGTGTCCCTTTATAATCATAACTGGAATATTACAGTCTTAAAAACTATGTCATTCAAAACTATAATAAATATAAAGAAAAATTTAACAGTGTAATTATAGTCATAAAATAAATTATATGAGACTCAGCTTTCAAGATGTGGCTACATGTGGGTGAGGTTTGGTCAACTTCAAATTCAGCCTTGGGCATTGCCACCTCACTGGGATGAGCCAAAGGGAGATTGAACACCAAGCCTTCAATATTCTGATAGAGTATCCTATTATCCACTCCCCTTTTCTGATTGGGCCTTACAATGACTGGATTTAAGATCTTTTTAAGTCTTACAAGCTTTATTAAATGTGAAGAGGATTTTATGTGTTAAAATATGCTTTACATAATAAATAACATTATTAATATTTTAGAAAGGTTCAGTAGGCATTGTAGAAAACATTACCTCAATTTTTTACCTAAAAGTGGCTATAACAACAGAAGAAGCATAAAAAGGCAAAGTGATGAGAAAAGCACATGCCTTATCCTGAGTGTGGAGGACTAAGCATTATTGACTTGAGTGAGTAGGCTATAGCCAAGTCCATTTAACCGCCTCATTCCTTCACTTGGGTAGAGATATACAGTGGGCAATTGAAGTTGGGTGATACTTGAAATGAGACTTGAAAGACACAAATTGCCAATCATAGCTAGAGAAGGCAAGAAACAGGATGAATCGAGCAGGCACAGATGTCATCTGCAGGAGACCTGAAGCTGGATTTCCTGTGGAGACAAGGTGCAGGAGCTAGCTAGCAAGATTTCTGCCAAGAAGCTAAGTGGAATTTTAATCACTGTCATTGTCTCTCTCTCCACTTGCAACTTGATTCTGGTATGTTGTTAAACAAAGATAAATATTGCATAATTGAATGTAAAATCCCCCAAATAAATATGACAATCATGCATACTCAAAATCTCATACCTCTAGAAATCAGGTGACAATTTATGGCTCTTGACAATGAGTAAAGTATTCGCCGCACATGATACAAAATATAGGACACTTTTGCAAATATTGATACATTTCCATCTTGATCTAGGCTATTTTCCAAATTTCATGGGCTCAAAATATAACAATGTCCCCCAACAAAATGCTCTAGAAAAATTTTAATTTCTATCCAAGAATACTTAAAGTATTCTTAAAGTTTGTATCTTTGTATTTGGAAGACAAAATGACTCTGTCTAATGAGGTTGAAGCAATAAGTTCTGAGACAAACTCACAAGGTAGTCAAATAAAGCTTAAACATTCTTAACAAATGTTGGTCAAATGACAGTGGATGAATGCTCTGTCTCAGGCAATTACAATTCATGGAATGACACAAAGGAGGGGCACATGCTTTAGCACATCCTCTGCCCAGAGTATATAAGCTTTGCTGTAAGTGCTGATGCTCACATTCACAATTGACCTCGTCTTAAACAGCAGAACAAACCTACCACTCCCGACACTATGAGTTACTACAGTGGCTACTACGGAGGCCTGGGCTATGGCTACGGAGGCTTCAGAGGCCTGGGCTATGGCTATGGAGGCTATGGCTGTGGATGTAACAGCATTCGGAGACTAGGCTATGGATGTGGTTATGGAAGCTATGGCTATGGTTCTGGCTACGGAGGCTATGGATATGGCTCTGGCTACGGAGGCTATGGATATGGATGCTGCCGCCCTTCATGCTGTGGAGGGTATGGGTTCTCCAGCTTCTACTGAGTGAATTGCTGAAATTAGAAGCAAACAGGACCGTTCCAAATATATGTGCTCATATTCTTTGCTCTTATTCCAGAGAAATTCATCTCATTTCCTCTGACACCAACAGGAATGTTTAAGCAGCTTCTGTGACCATTTTGTATCTTTAGCTCCTGTAACCCACTACCAAAATGCATATTTAATATGAGTAATCATTTAATTTAATTTATTCTTCTTGTTTTGTTCTGTCTTTTTAAACTGCTATTGCTATGTGATCTTTCTAGCAATGACTTAGAGAAACTTTATGCTTTATTGTTATCTAATAAATATTTGAAATGTTTACCATTACTGTAGCAACTTATTTTGCAACTAATATAAAGAATTTTATTATGAAGTGTTGATATTTGGCTGCACACTATGTTTTGATAAAGATGATTCTAAGTCATTTTGCTACACAAGCTTAGAACATATAGGATGTCTCCTAAGAGTACACAGAAATAACTAGCTTCCATTTGCTCAGTCAAGTTATAAACCCACTCAAACGCCTTTAGTGTGCAGTCACCACAGAGAGTACCTTCTTGCATCCTGCTGTGGAGTACGGCTATTGGCTGCATCTTTTTTTGGTAGCACTGCTATAACCAGCCATGACATTGCCTATTCTTTGTCTCGGGGAATGGTAGACATAAGTTGAGTCTTGTTTGCTTTCCTTGGCATCTACAGAGAGCTACAATGTGTGTGCTAAACACACTTTGTCAGAAACAAACAGTGGCAGAACCTCTTACATCACAGTAAATTCACGTGATGATGTGAGAGGTTCAGGGGCACAAATTTGCAAGATGAGCTGCTTTTCCCTGGTGTTGGGTCAGATTCTCCATTCTTAAGGTTTATTGTCATTTTAATTGTGTGTATGTGCGAAAGTGTGTTTGTATGTCTTCTAGTGGGTACATGCAGGTGAGTCAATTTAGCCACAGAGGCCAGAGGCTTTTGATTCCTCTAGAGTTGGGACTTCAGGTGGTTGTGTACTGTTGGACCTGGGTGTTAGAAACTGAACTTGGGTCTTCTGCAGGACAAGTGTGAACCATCTTTACAGACTCATGAACACAAGTTATTTTACTTCAATGGTCATTACTAATGTTAACTCGCAAATCACACATCACACACACACACATGCGCGCGCGCATACACATACACACACGCACACACATGCACATGTATACATGAGCACACACATGTGCACACAGGCACACAAATTTATATGTTATAAAATGACTGCTGGGAGTAAAAGACAAAAGTTTAAGAAGTAGGTTGATAGAAATGGAAATAAAAGGGACCAAATCAGCATCAGGATCGGAGCTGAAGCAGCGGCCATGCTGACATGAGTGTTACTTGTATAGGGGTGCAGTGCAGGATTGCTCCCAGCTGCAGAGGTGAGAGGACAGAACCATGTCTATATCTGTATGAAAGGATAGATGGCATGTCTATATTGACAAACAGACAGGCCTTACTGGGTCCAAGCCAGGCTAAAGCCCAGGAATAGTGATAAGTTCTCTGCCTCTTGGTCTTCGATGCACACACCAGGTGGT